GGCGTACGCCTACATCGCACATTCGAACACGTCAATATACATATATATATATATATATATATATATAATGAAAAGCGATTTTGCTAACCAGTCAAGCTAGGAAGCTGAAAATTTTCGAGGACATTCTGTGTCCATTCGCGACCGAAACATCTCAGATTCTTGAAGTACACGTAGATCTCGTGCCAGAGTTTTAAGCGCGCCTAGATCTTGAAGTCCGCTTAGATTTCGTGCACGCCCAAGTGAAATTTTAGTTTGGGACATTGTTGGTACTCAATTTAGCCGAAATTCAGACTGAGCAGTGCGCAATATTTTTCTGAATATTTGCTGCTGTGTATTACAGCAATCGTAAAATTAGCATTTGCCTAGGATTTAAATATCTGTCAATCAGCGTACAATTTTCGTAAGCTCAGCAGTTTTCCTGCTTCCATAAGGGCGAAACTGACAAAAAATGCAATTACTCTTACAAATATTTAATTGGAAAATCCTGCGTTTTTGACTTAATGCAAACAAAGCGCTCCGTTCCGACTTACACTGATACCAAACTCACTTAGAGCGTATCAATTTCTCAGGATCAAAACTCCAGTGCCATTAACATAACCGGTAGCAATATGACAACAGGCGAAAGAGCCGGAAGTGAACCACTATTCAGCAATGAAGTGATAAGTTTATGGCGATACTCCCTGGGTCACTGAATGCAACAGTAAGGCGAATGGGCGCTTGAATACGCAGCGGTATCAAAACCTACCTTTCGTCTGGAAAAAACTTGTCTTTCCACCAGTTGCGATCACGGAAGCAGCACACAAAAAGGATAGTCAAAAGAATTTAAGTCCTGGAAGCAAAAGTGCTACTGGACATGTATTTCCCTTTTACCAGCATATTTTTTGCAGTCCGTCCCTCCATCACTGGAGATAAAACTTTAAAAAGGGGGTGAGTGATTTAATGACCAGCGAAACAAGAGCTCGAATTTTGCTTCGGGGTTGAGTTTTTAAAGTCTACCTTCGGCAATTTCCCTTCGTGCAGCTTCGACCACACGTTCGTCCATATACCTTCCTAGCGCTAGCGCTTCGCCGACGAGCCGCTCAGTTAAGCCCTCTTCATTCGCCTCGGCAGGCCTTAGCACAGGCCTACTTGAAAATGGCAATCGAACTGATTTCCCATCCGGTGCTGGCCTAAATGTGAACTATTTTACAATAAATAAATTTCGCTTCAACTAAAATGCATGAATCATTTAAGAAAAAAAAAA